GCTAGCCTCTTCCAAAGATATATTTGGGTTTTATTTATGGTGCATTCAAATAATCTCCAGGAGTTGAATCGGGTTTAACTTCGTCCCCGTCGTTTTACGTGAGTGACACAGCGCACACGGCCATCTCCAGATCGCGGTTTACCCCGTGTGTACGCAAATGGAAAGCACTCATAACACAGCAGTAGATAAATCCACCGTCGATTCTCTGTAAGCGTTTTTCCGATAGAATGAGCATGCCGCAGGCACAGAGAAAGCAATTGCCAAATACAGCATGATTTCCTTTTTTTCCGCTGAGGGCGTGCTTATTCCCACGGTGTGGCATAGAGGGCGACATCAACAGAAGCCAATGTTATGGGTGGGTTCAATCATGCTCACATGGGGAAGCCCTGACCTGGTCTAACCAGTGAGACGTTGAGGACGAGGTTAAACCTGTTTACTCATGAAAGCTAATTTTACGAAAGCAGATGATATAAGCGTGCAGGCCAACACATTAGGCCTATTCCAATCAAAATTATGTCATTACTGGTGAGTCTCGAACTTGACCAAGAGATGGCGCAACTTTTCTACCCGAGAAAGCTCTCCTTTGGTCGGAACCACTGATCTCTATACACAGGAAAGGCAGCTATGCACTGCGAGTTGAAGCGACTGCCCAGCCATCTAAGGCTATCCAGTAAAATGGCATTTTCCAAGTCAGCGGCTTTAGCGCCTTGCATGAATACACACAGGCTGAGTTCGGGCGGCTTGTTCTCGTTTATTCACGAACAGCTTGATTTGTTGTTCGTGGGTTGGCCGCTCGAACGCCGGGAATGTACAACCAGTTAATAGCGCTAGTAGTTATTTGTGGCAAGCAACATGCAACATGACAGCATCCTTGTGCATTCTTCGAGAGTTAATGTTGGATAACTGGGCTAACTTCTTTTCCATTTAAAAAATTCATTTCTGTCATAGAAAAATATTAATGTTAATTTTGCAAAACTTTCCATTGTCTTCGGCTTTTTCGAGTTTTTCCGTGTGTTCGTGTAAAATCCTGACGAGGAGGTTATGTGTGCATCCCGTTCCGAGAACAGTGTTCTTGGGTCGTGTTCCCGCCGTTCGAGCGCGAGAACACGAAACCCGTGTCAAGAACGGACCGCCCGAACTCGACCTTAGTGAATGGACTGAAGCTGGTCATCGTATTGAGTATCGTAAGATGTCCGCGCGGTCACTTCAAGTCGCACTTAGGCGGTTACTGCTGAGCTACCTGTCTAGTGTATAGAGATCAGTGGTCGTCGCTGCACTTCACTGGTTCACAAACGACTTCGAAATGCACGCGTTAAGGGCGCTTTGCTACCAGCGAAATGAACACTCCCGACCGACATTTCTCTTTTCAACCGATGAGGGGGTGCGGTGGTCCGGCCGGTGTCAAACACTTGAGGCAGAGGTTTGCAAAACCAAAGGCTCCCGCACTCAGTATCGGCAGTACCTTGCATTGAGAGAAGTGGCCGTTTCCAAGACATTTACTCGGAACTGTATAATTAATAATACTTTATCTAGCACAGAAGTAGCGAGGTCTCTCATTTTTGTCCCTACAAAATATCGACTGCTGTCCAGGACGTCCATTTCCTATGGGAGGTTTTACCGAAAGGCTATTGGATATTGTAGAGAGCAGAAGATGTCAGACGATCTACGTCGTGGCAAAAACTGGAAAACTATATTACCTATATTAACTATTAATGTTCTTTTCTTTTTTTCTACCCAGGCGAAGGTATTTCGCATCCACAAGAGCCCATTTTCTGGTTTTCAACTGCGAGCAAAAGTATTAATTTTAGGCCTTAAGACATGTTAGAACGATTTTTATTTTTTTTCCTGTGATGGCAACATATTTTTCTTGTCCATGTAGTGTTTTTATCCTTACAAGAAGGCGCTTTCCACTCATAACAGTTCAACGATGGGGCGTTTTCGTGAATGTACGCTGTAGGCCTACTGAGGCTCAGTACATGAAGTCATTTTTTATGTGGGTAATTCCAGAAATCAGGGGGGCCCAACATGTGACATTTTTGTGTCCCTGTTACATCTGACCTTTGTTATTTGACATGGAAATATCACCGGAATTGATTTCAAACTTTTACTATTTGTAAGGCAAGTAATTTGCATTAATTCATCACTCTTGGGAATTAGAAAATGTGTTCTGAACTTTAAAAAAAATCATATGTCAGATGTGACAGGGACACGAAAAGTGGCCCCCTAAGGTATTACCCGTGTTTACGTGTGTTTCGGTTTTCAGTCACAACCTCTTGTTTGTTGGCTGGTTGAAATGTCAAATAATGCCAGATCAAAAATAAAGATCATTATTCCCCCCGTTCATACAAAAACAATGCCCTGGACGGTATTAAATATAAACTAGCGATATGCAGTTTCTCGGAAAGTTGTCCAAGCTGTATCCTGATTACGCACAGAGCTATCAGCCACGTAATCGCCTGACAGCTAGTCACAGTAAACACTGCAGCGCGAACAAGTCACCGGGGCGTGGGTGTTTTCACATTGATTGAGCAGTTTGAACGTAGGCCTTTCTGCCTGTATTATGAGCATTTCCTCGAAGTAATTGTTTACCCTGAAAGGATGTAATTGTCCGCAAGTCGCCTTTGCCGGGACAAAAGACCAAAAACGCTTTGGTGCTGCTCGAAGAGTTTCTATGTTAATAAGAATACCTCTGAGTCGGATGTTGCATCTTGTGCTTTGTTATTAAAGTTACGATCTTACCGGTATGTTGTTTCGCATTGTACGAAACAATCTGCAAGTCCGAGCTCAAAATAGATTTAGTGTTTAAAGAAAGATTGGAATAATTGGTTAAGAATAGAAAGACTTCAGGAAAATCAGATTTAAGAGTTGGTTAAAATCTTGCACTATTTTATCGTTATTCTTCCCTGACAAGTATTATATTATATAGACGCTTTGTGTTAATATACTGCGTACCTGCTAAATAAGATCTAGTCTGGTTCCATGACCAAACATTCCTTGACGACTCCTGATAAAATCTTAGGTTAAGGCTGTTTTCCAATACTCAACTTCGTCTCCGTCTCAGGCTTCGTTCCCAAAACCAATCACCGATTGTGGGCCTGAAGCGTTTCAATTACATTGGATGACTGTAATTTTTGGCTTTCTTGCATCTTGTTTTATGTTTCGTGGCACTGTCAGATTGATTACTGCGCTTACAGCTTCAAAGTCAGCGAGTAAAAAAAAACAGTTCAAGTCTGAGAACAGAGCCGAAGTTGAGTATTGGAAAACAGCCTATAGGTATCACCAACTGAAAAAAACAAAACAAAACAAAACAAAACAACAAAACCGTGACACAATGTGTCAAGGATCACAGGGAATGCACAGGGTGGATTCTATATCTAATTGTACATGCAGGCTGTTAATGTTGGTGGCCACTTTGAAAACATTCAAGAAACTAAAAGAACTGTGGATACAGGAAGGGCGCAGCATTCTATTGCTTTTGTGCAACAAGCAAAAGAACAATGTATCCATTACGTGACGGACACGACCGAAAATACCCGAACACCATCGATGCTATCCGAATGTGGACGGGACGAGTTCGGATTATTTCGGAAACTGGAGGAATTCCTCCGGTTTTTGTCACATGGACATTGGGTTATACCGGACCCTTGATTCAACGAGAAAAGTTGGAATCCTCGGGTCTGGTATCCAGACCAAATAAGCTCTACATGCTCCCTGAGGGCGTTGTTGTATTTTGGTGTTAACATCTGAAACAAGCATGCAAATGAGAACGTTGAAAAAAAAATTACCAAGGCAACGAGACACACAACATAACAAAATGCAGTTCCGTGACGTTTATGACATTATCCGCAAAAGGACACCATCATCACAAGCTAATGTATATAAATATCTTACCAGAATGCCATTTGGCAAAATTACGTTAAATTTCAGCCTTCGCTTATCGAACATAGGTACCGCTGTTGGGTAAAAATCCTCAGTAGTCGTGACCTAGCGACGGAACGCTCTTTTCAGGGCACGAAAGTACGGGAATTTTTGCCGAATCAACCCACGCCCGATTTGGAATACCCCCTCGATGAATCGCCAACAAAAGGTGTTTATACCTGGTTCCCATAGTGGATTTCAAAGCCGCCCTTCCAACCCCCCCCCCCCGCTTTCTGGAAAGCGACCCCCGCGGTTTCATGGTGCATCCTTTGAACCGTACGGAGTGGAGGCGAGGTCTCTCCATTTGGATGAATCGATTAGCCTCCATAGGGGTGTCGTGTTGGGCCAGTCACGGATCAGTGGCACCCACTTCACCAACACTTCGCTCACTTTTTCAAGGGTCATTTGGAGAGTCTTTCTTTGCAGCTACTTGTCTTATGTGTTGGACGTGGCTTTACATCGAACGCCGCCAACTGACAGAATAACACAAAAATACAAACCGCCGCTTAAAGTAGTCTGAGACAAAGACAACTGAAATCGAAACACGGGGTTCTCGAACTTATGAAGTTGATGTACTTGACGACCACAGTAAATCGGCCAAGGAAATAAGGGGGGTAGTTCACCCTTTGACAATATAAATGTATTTTGATTAACATACTCTGCATGTTTTGACCATGTGTTGACCTTGGCTTACGATTACATTAGTGTTTTTAATATATATAACAGCCGAACAAGAGATCTGTTCCTTTTTTGGCATCGTAAAGTAGAGTTCTGATGACCTTTTCCTTCTAATGCTAGGCTGTAACTGTTTCACCGAGTCCGCCATTAATTTTGGGATCTTAAAGGAGAATTTCGATCTATTATACTTCACTGTCTTCCCCAGAAATCTTAAAACAGATTCCTCCCACATGTTTGAGAGGATAAATAAAAAAATATGTGAGCATGCAACCTTTCGTAGTCCTTGCCCCGGGAACAAGGTTCTTTTTTTCACTGGGACAAATGACTAGGTATAATAACACGAACAGTTAACCGTGGCATTGTTCACGCCTGGCTGCACCTATTGACGGGAACGCACCGCTGCTCAATCCGCGTTGTCATCACACGACTCTCGGAATCCCCGCTGCCTGAAAGAGGGGAAAAGAAGCTCAATCATTTTCCGAAGAGGTATACGTGTAAACACAGGAAGTGGCACGGGGATGCCTGCACGCGGAGAAGTGGAGAGATTCGGTAGGGGACGCTTCAGGTGACCGAGGGAGATGTTTCGATGTTCTCTAGAGACACTGGCCAAAACAGCACGTTCTGGTAAACGAACGATGACCTGGGTTGCGGGATAATGCGGTTGGTGTTCATCATCAGCTGTTGAGGAAACCCTGGGTTGATGCTTGGAGGAATGAAAACACTTTCTTCTAAAACGGACAGTGGTACGTACCTGGGATATCTTTCTTGATCCTGCCTGGGGACTTTTGCTGGTTTATCGTCAACCCTTCGTTTTTTTCAAGTCCGGACGCCATTGACAGTTGACGCAACGCCATGCCAGCCAGCTCGACCGCCACCCTGAGCCCACCGTCTAACAATCCCGCCGCGACCGGACCCTGCTGGGACGGTCCTGGGCCGTCGTCACGGGACCCAGAGTCCCCAGCTTCCTCGGGGATGCCGGATCTGGATCGGATGAACATAGGTGAGAAGGCTTTTCCACACTCGAAAATCATACATCTTTACTTTTTTAGTTTCAGGAGAAAAACAACTTTGGAAGTATCATGACTGTTAATTGTTACCCATTCAGAGCTTGTTAATTTGCTGAAACTCAATACTCGTTTGTACTCTTGTTTCTAACATTTCGGTTGTTTTTTGTATTTTTGTTTATATATGATTTCATTCTCTGTAAATAAAAAAAAATTGCAGTTCTCGGTTCAGAAAGAGTTCCATACACGGACAACACCAATTTTCCCTTGAAATGTTACAACGAGCCGTCAGAAAGTTATAACGTCCTTAAAAAGTAAAAGTTGGCTAAGAAAATTCACAAGGATTTACTGAGAGAACACTGTTTTTGTCCAGACAAGTCTCCAAGGTTTGTGCACTGGGGCATCAAGTGTTGTCCGTATGTGGATCTCCTTCCCTTGGCTCTAACCTGTTTCACCATTGGGTATAACGCTTGGTACCAGACTTGAGAAGAATTATACAATCGTTTGAATTCTGAAAGTTGCAACATTTATGTGACTGATTTTCTTTGGGGGGGGTTGCTCCCTTGCTTCAAAAGAGGAATATTATCCTCACCATCAGAATATCTGGAAAAGTATATGCAACGGATGTGCTCTTGTTTGGATTGGCCACCATTTCATTCTATGCGAAACAATGTGCAAATATTTGCCTCATTTCTAATTTTGTGTCCAGCATTTTTATCCTAAAAGCGAAAGTAATTCTACTTCGAGTGCACACGGCTATATCCTGGACGTAGACATTTAAAAGTTCCCTGTTGTAGTTCAGAAAGTGGCTTTGGTACTCAAATGCTATGAACCCAAAATGTAAATAATTGGGTTTTTGTTGGGTAGTTTTGGAGTTGTAAAGACTGGCGGTATTACGGACCCAAACCCAACAACATGAGCAAGGAGATTCTACAATTTGAATTGTGGTTTGAGTTGACAATTCACACAAACAGCCATCCCGACCATCTCATACAGAAGGACACTTGTTCTCCCATCCTTTTCTTGGAATTGTGGTTATTGTCTTCCTTCATTGTGACAGCCAACCGTGCGCACGGGGCCTAGTTAACAACGCGCCATGTCTGATCAATGACGTCTGAGTAAAGTCTGAGAATACCAGAGGAGAGTTCCGTCTTATTGACTTACTATCGATCGTTGCAATGAGCTTGGAGAGTGGACACAATAATTTGACTGGGGCCGCGTAAGGGCATACCCAACCCTCGGAATAGGCCGGAGTGTCTGTCTGTGGCATCCCAGAAACGTCTGTTTATAGTCAGCGACAATCTGCGATGGCCTTTGGTTTTGTCTGATCTTCATAGGCGTTCTGGAACAGAATTTCTGGTTGGCTGCATTTTTAAATCCCAACTGTATTTTTTTCTAACGAGTAGATGAAAAGGTTCATCTAGCCACTCTGCAGCAAGACCCGATGGTTGGTGGTACTTGGTGCAGCTTTTACGGGCCAGTGGCGTAGCCGCGGGGGGGGGGGGGGCGTCCTGCCCCCCCCTCCCACAAATTCCAGGTGCCCCCTCCCGGTGCCCCCACTGAAAAAAACGGAGGAATGGATATTGAACAAGGCTAACAAAAACTTGCACCCAAAAAACACACCTCTGAAAGCTGGTGCCCCCTCCGTAAGATGCTGGTGCCCCTTTGTGCCGCCCACCAGTAAAATCCTAGCTAGGCCACTGTTCGGGCTGCTGCTAACTTCAGTCGTTACCGTTTCTACTCAACGTCTCAGTTCTTGACGCAGTTTTGGCAAACTTGTTTTGTGCAACACTAGGTCCTGAATCCTTAATTGACAAACATTCTTATTTCCCTGCGTGTCCAATGATCTTATTTTAGCCCATGCAGTAAAATCCTCGAGGTGACCCACTGCAATTCTCCAGAAACCAGCTTTTAACTTTGTTTGGAACTTTTGATAGTCTCCGGGACGTGTAGTGCTATTCAAGCGGTAATTGATTATGCCTTGTTTTCCTTTGAACAAGCTGCTTTTGTCGTACCCGTGAAAACTCGCTGTAGTTTGTTCTGAGCCCGCTCAGTGTTTCGGCAGGCACCCGATAAGTACTGGCATTAGCCAATGTACTGGTGCCCTGCTTGAGTGAAACTGGCCCACAGACAATAGGTCTGCATTTTTGTGTAGCCATTCAGGGATTATCACTTCTTAGCTCAACTCAAACGCCCGTCACTTTGGGGCGGAAGGGGGGGGGTTGAAAATCTTTCTCATCAACCAAGGCGACAGTTATCAAAACCTCGAAACAACAGCCGCGGCTCGAACAGCTGGGGGACAGCGGAAAACCGCTCCACCGGTCGGCCGTTTTAGCAGCTTAGGATTAAGGGCTTCGGTTGCACAATGGTGGGGGTTCAATATGCTGTAACATTGTCAACAAGCGCTTCTACAATTTGCAAAGCATCGCCTGACTCTGTGGAGTTTCTTGAAATATTGTTTGATCACTCAAAGCCACGTTTTCCTGTTAACGTAAGTTTGGGTGTTCGTCTGTTGTATATGATTGTAAACATGAGCAGCGATGCACGTTCAGATAGGGTAATGTCAAACTAACCGGCCTTCCTCTTTTGCCAGAAATCAAGATGTTATGATGCTCACACCTATCGATCGAGTTACAATTTGTTGAATCAACAAATTGTAACTCGTTCGACATATTGAAAATTTGAAAACTGAGCTTATTTCCCAAGCCCGTTCCAAAGTGGTGTTTGTAACGTGGGTTAAAGAGAAAGCAGGCCTCAGGCAGCGTGGCGGTTTTGTAACCTGCATGTACCGTCGAACCATAATAGCTGGGGGGGGGGGGCACAGCACCCCCTTACAATCCACAAAGTAACCCTCCCGCATCTCATTAGCACATTTTACGAAATGAGCGTCCAGTCGATGCCCGGGTCCTTTTGGCAAGTTGGGTTTAATGACCCCCTCCTGGATCCCCCTCACCTGATAAGAGATCTTAATAAGACACATTCTTTAACCTCTGAGTTCAAAGGTCTGACCTGACGATATGAACGGGGTCACTTCAAATGGGTTCACGGTTGGAGTTCTTTTGTATCGACGCTGCTGCACCGTCCCAAGTAGCGTTTCACTAGGTGGGGGGGGGTTCAATTGCCCAAGATGCGGTTTGGCCTCAGTCCTGTCTCTTTTGGTGTACCCCTCTTTAATTAATGAGCTGAGAAGATGTACACACGTATTCCTGGAAATGCTGGTGGTTGGCAAACCGACGACAGGTCTTTGTTGTTCTTATTTCCCCATCATTGATAATAAGGAGTAGCGGGAGAACATGATTACTGCTGTGGGGTTACACCACATCTTCCATTGAATACGCAGCTTTTCCTACATCCATCTGATGCTTTCTTCGAACAATTTCAGTTTGCATTATTCAAGTGGCAGAGAGAGTTTTACAGGAAACAAGCAACTTCACAGGAAGAGTTCTCAACTGAGAAGTGAATAAACTTTTTTCTTCTTTATTTCTGGCGATGACCGATTCTGTATAAGATTTATACATTTTATTTTGAAGAATAACGACTCTTGTCAGGATGACAAACGTTTGTCTTTATTAATTAAACTGTATTCATGCGTTGGCCTTCTTAAATTGAAAGTGAGGTAAACTTTTCATTTTGGGAACATGGGAGGTAAATTTTTTAAAAAGACGAGATAAAAAATCAATACAAATTCCTTTGGAATAATTAAGCATTTGTATATTCGTGATAAATACGATCTGAAGGTTTCAAGCGACCTCGAAAAGAATACAAGTGAGGTTTGAGAGCAAACATAGTCTGGAACCACTCCATTTAGCAGATTGCACTGCAAATGAGAGATTCAGGGAAGAAGATTAACATGGCTTCCCTGTGAATAAGGTCTATGGTGGGCCGCGACCGAACTACTTGGCTGTGGCTTGAAATTGCATACAACATTATGGAAACTGGCTCCGGCCACAACCATAGACTCGTGTGTGATTTCTAGCTGCAGCCAAGCAATTGGGACACGGCCGTTTGCTCCCTGTTACCAACCCCGTACAATGGGGGGGGGGGGAGGCTTGTTTGACCTGGAATGGTGTGCGGATAATGGTTCTCTATTTGATTGGTTCTTTTCGTATTGTTTTCGTAGCCCTTTTTGCCATTTGAAGCAAGATATGGGACGGAGAGAATCCCCCCGCCTTTGT